TTGCTGCTATCCCCGGGAGGGACCCGCTATTGCTGCTATCCCCGGGAGGGACCCGCTCCTGTTGCCGTGCCCGGGACAGATCCGCTCCTCCTGGCCGGGAGGGACCCGCTGCTCCTGCTGTGCTTGGGACAGACCCGCTCCTTCTCCCGTGTCCCTGACGGAGCCGCGGGGTCCCAGGCGGCGGGACCGGGAGGCAATGCCCCGGCAGGAGCGCCTGTGCCGGGGTATCCCCGGCATCACCGGGATACCAGCGCTGCCGTCCGTCTGCAGCTGCACCTGGGCACCCGCCGAGCGTGTTCTTCCCGCAGGGAAAATCCCCGGCGCCGGCTCAGCAGCGGAGGTGAAACCTTCCAGAACGAGTCCCAAGGGCGCTGTGGAGGCTTTTGGCGCTGCCTCTCCTGTGTTCCGTTCGCAGGGATTTTTATTKAGTCTGTCGCAGCGCGGGGCGGGCTGGCTGTGCGCTCCCCACATGTCATCAGCAGTAATTAATTAATTCCTCGAGTTAAGCTGTCCACGCTGATTCCAGCGCTCTCCTTTCTGAGAGTGGATGAATGGGAATTGTAACAGCCTTTTCCACTGAGATTGGAGAATCCATAAAGCCAGCTCACTTCCTTTCTGCTATGCTGGTGTTTCAGGATTACCAGGAACAAGTAATAATGGACATTATTTTAATTCAAACCAAAGAGGACTGGCTGATCCAGAGTTACAGGATTTTCCCTGCAGGGTAATTTCTTGATTAGATTTTCTCTGATTTTGGGAGGGAGATTTGTTCAAAGAGATTCCTCACAGACAAACTGCAAATTGTGAAACCTGAGTGCCGACAGTGACACTGACAGCCCTTGGATCCAAAACTGCATAAAACTGGCCAGTGATCTCCCTCCCCTGCCTTAATAATAAACTTTTTTAAGGCTCTTCYCCAGACTTTAAGGCCTTTATTTGTATTTTCCTATCTGTGAATTCATGAGGAGATTTCTACTGTAGAGCATGTTTTGCTTGAGTTTCCTGCATCTCTTCATGCTGATCCTGTTATCATCTTGATATTTGGGATCAGGCTGCTTTGATTCCCAGATTAGATGTAGATCTGACCCGTAGATCTGATTTTTGGTAGAATTTGGACGTGCCTGTTGTACATTTGCATTTTCTTAATGGAATGACTGGGCTGGAAGAGCTGCTGCTGAACCCCCAGCACTGCCAGCACCCTGTGGGGAGCAGGGACAGGGTGTTTGGGTGCAGGATACCCCTCTGTGGGGTGAGGCTCAGCTTTTACCCCCACCCTAGAGCAGGAACTGGGCCAGGGCTGCAGTGATGAGAGAGGGGCAGGTGCTATAAAATAATCCTGGCAGCTAAAACAGGATAGCAAATGTTTGTGCAGRCCTTTGGGGCACATTAATTAAGAAYGCTGCCATCAYAAACCAGCAATTTCTTATKTACATGTGAGGAGCTTTGATAACTTTCTCAGCATCTGCATATTGCAGTGCTTGGTTGGATTGTTTCCAGAGACATCTGAAAGTTTTCTGTTGGAAAAGGGAGCTGTGGTTCAGTTCTTTGCTACGGTTTAAACATTTCATAATGTGTTTGCAGCAAATKGTGTAGCACAGAGGATGCCCTGGGTGATCTTGGAGGTGCAAGACAAGGTCAGCTTGGACTTTTCCACCTGAAATTTCTTAGCTTTGCTAGCTTTCAACTCAAATAACAACTTGCTTCTTAAAATGTTGTCTCGTTGAGGGGGATTTATGCAACAAGGCAACAAAAAGCATGAGGTAAAAGACCAAAGCRCTGCTTTAAGCTTGTAATTTTCTGTGTGATGAGTTAAATTGTGGCTTCTGTTTGAAGACTTGCCTGTTCAAACACATTTTCCACRTGCATAATGAGCATGGTTTAAAAAGCCCCAAAGTAGGGAATAAATACATCTAAAAAAAAAAAAGAAAATGTTATTTAGCCAAATCGGTTGAACTTACTCTCAAGACTGAGAGTTGTAAAYGAAGGGGATGATCAGTGCTGCTTGGTAATCATGACCTAAAGGCAGCGCTTTCACATTTCTCATTTGAACATTTCACATGGGTATCTCAACACAGGATTTTTCTGTCCACCAGTGGAAGTTCTGATCTAAGCAYAGGTGAAGAAATTTAAATGTGTTTTTACTATTTCAGAAAATTACTGATCACAACGTGCTTGTCATTATTCATGGGGTGAATACGCTCTACTCTCCTACCATCAAAAATAAAYTTTATTTACCTATTTCACATCAAACTTCTGCTTTCTCTGCCTTCCCTGTGTGGATTTACTGGTTGTGCTGATCAGTTGTGCGTGGATTTCCTCTTCAGTTTCCCTTTCTTCCATTGAAACCAACCGAGTGGGGATGAATTTGGGCAGTTCTGTGCCTCTGTCTCCCCGGATGGGAGCTGCTTTTGGCCCATCTGACCCCACTTTTCCATTAATCTCGTTTTCCTTATGTTTGTGTTTATCTATACTTCAATTTTGATGGTTTCCCGAGTGCCTTGTCACTCTTGAATCACTTTTTCATTGTTACCATGTGCTTGGTTTATTAATCCTCCTCTTCTCCCTTTAACCTGATCTCTGTAATTTCTCCAGACTTTTCCATCCCCCCTTTTCAAAAAATCTAACGCCAAGTTCTTCTCTTTCTCTCCCATCTTTCCTGTCATACCCCCCTGTGAGCATTAACTTTGGTGGGATTGAGGATTTATTTGTGAGTGGTGCTGCTTTCCCTGCTGCCTTTTCACTGAATTTCAAGTAAGCACCCTCAGGGTTTTTCCCCTTCACTCTCTTCCTGATGCCTGCAAGGTGCTGTGTAAACCCACAAAACCATTTTCTAGAGCTTTAACTTCTCTGTAGCCTTCAAAAAAAAATTGCAGACACTGGCAAAGCTGAGAGTGCTCCCTGTGCTTCTAGAACTTGAATAATGGGGAGAGGGAAAATAACACTTGCGGATGTGGTGTGCTTCAAGTGCTGCATAAAAAAAAAATCTATCAGTGCTTAGATCAGCCTGTCAGACCTCACATCTCTGATTTCACACCTTTTATCTTCACTACTTTGCAGAAAGTTCCCTTGCTGCTGTGTAGGTGAGAGCACAGAACAGGGCAGTGTTGAGTGGGAGCATGACAGCAGCACTGAGGGAGATATTAAGCCAATATTTGGAATTTTGATAGATAAAAACATCTTGAATGCTTGTTAAAAATGCATTTGGCTCGTGCCTGGTCAATCTGACAGTTCAGGCTTTGTCAGCAGTGATTTCTGCTYGGGAAGCTGTTTCCATGGTGTGGAAGAGGCTGGAGCCAAGGCCAGTGCAGTTGGAGCTGTGGTTGGCTCCTCGCTGGCTTTCCCTTACTGAGCACTTGTAGATGGTTGGGTTTTGGTGGGGGCACTTCCAAAAATCCAAGGTTGGTTTTTGTTGCATCAACACATCTGTGTCACACTGAGAAATAGCTGGATTTGGTCAGGAGTCTCCTTTTTAACTGGTGGATTTTTGGTTTTGTTGGAGTTTGTTTGTTTGGGTTTTTTGATTGTTGTTTTGCTTTTTTAGGGGGTATTTTGGTGGTTTTTATTTGTCTGTTGGGTGGGGGTTCATGGTTTTTTTTGTTTTGTTTTTTCATTATTGTTTGGTTTTGTGTTATTTTGGGTTTTTTTTTTTTTTTTGTTTTGTTTTTGCCTTCACCTTTTTGCCTTCACCTTTTTGCCTTCCATTTTCATTTTCATTTTTATTTCCTGGCACCCTGGGAAGTGCACTGGCCTTTCCTTTCTGAAACGTGACCCCCCCAGGATGGCTGTAGCCCAGCTGGAGCTCTTGCTGACCTTGCCCAGATCAAATTAGGATTTGGAACTCAGAGCTCAATGAGAATCCCTCCTCTCTCACTCCTTTCTTACCTCCCTGACCTGTTATGCAGAAACAGAGATAGTCAACATTATCTGAAAAATAATCTGGAATTTTGTAGCTCCTTGCAGGTAATTTTTTTTAAAATCTGTTTAGAAAGTCACAGAATATCTGTGGGATCTGCAGTTTTTGAATGAACACAACATCCCCCACAAAGCTAGAGGAACACCTCAGCTGCTCCCTCACAATAATTTATTAATCCAAGCTGCAACACTGTATTGAGGCCACTTTCAGCAAAAAGTTGTTTTTAAAGTGTCTGATTTCCTGAGGAGAATCAAAAGCTGGTTCCTGTTTCCTTTTCTCGGTGTGGATTTCTGTCACCAGTTCATTCCTGACTGGGAGCAGGTTCCGGAAAGGGATTGGGCATCTGCTACTCCCATTATTGGGAAATTACTGGAAAGCTTCAAGAAAAGGGTAATTTGTTTTTAATGAGGCATTTTGCTGTCCTTTACATTGCCAAAAGTCAGGATTTTTTCCTAAAGAGTTGACCCAAAAGTTT